CTCTGGCTTTTTATATTAAAAATCGGGACAAAAACCCACAATGAGAAAGTTTTTACTCATCACCTAGGTATTTTATACTTGTTACTGCCCAAAAGAAACACATTCGGAACGGGGAACAAGGTATTCGGAGATCTTCGAGTTTGCAACTCTAGACGAGAGCCCGTGCCCGATTTATCACAACCGACACCAGTTGACAGGCCATCCGATAAGAATCTGCGCATCCTCGCCAAATGGCATTGTGTCGATCATTCTCTCGCCCTGTACTCGTAACGTCTTAACTTTGAGTTTGAAGATCCTTAAAAGTGGCGAATCAACAACCCATCTCTTGGAGTTATGGGGTCGATCAGATACCAAACACATTTTAGCTGTAATTTAGAAAGGCTAAAGACGTCTTCTATAGACCAAGGCGATCATGATACGATACACGTCCACGACTAAATCTCTGCCTCATTCGGCCCATCTCAGCAGAAGGTGCTAGCCTGAATAGGCATATAATGTATGATAAGATTGATGCCAGAGCCCTAAGGGGTATGGCTGCTCCAATGGTAGCCGTGTCCATTATAATGAAATCCATTTTTCTATCTCCTCATGCGGAAATTCCGCTTCGATTGACATAAAATGTGGCACCTGGGAGGATTGACACTCCTCCAACCGCCAAAAGGAATAGAGAGCTCGCGTGCCTGAGGACTTGAAATGTTGATTTGTTGGCCTGATATCTCCACATTAATAGACGGATATGTCTAGAAATACTCTATCGCTAACCACAATGGATCCCAGTAAATATGACCACCTGTTGAACCATCAACGTTCATATAAAACCAGACTTTCAGTTAACCTCAAACATACACATTCAACCTTGAACAATGATGATCATCTTTACCACTTCCGGAACGAGCGATGTCGCGTCTAATGATGCATTGAATCTTAGTCGCCAAAGTTTATTTATGCGCCACTCAATACCGATCAAGAAAGTCCTTAGGGAAGAGTGCGAACGGACGCTGCCACGGAAAATATCCAAGTGACCGGTGCTCTAAGCTGCCATGACGCCGCTACGATTCAGCCATGTGCTCGGAAGACGCCTGGAGCCTAGTGGTTCAGTGACTACATAGCTCTGAGATCGTCACTGCGATTCATTCTAGTGCCACCAGTTTCCACGTCAAAAAGCTTCGATAGCTGAGCCACAAAAGATTGCGTCTCCATTCCCTACATTTTCGAAGCCTATATTTTGAGAACAGTAAGTACTGTCTATCTCGAATCGGAACTCGATTCATATTTTCCGTCTTTCAAGAACGTCTTCGCTCTGATGCACTTGTATCAATATCGATGAAAAAAAGGCCAAAGTTTGCAACTAGGGCGAAAATGGCACAAAGTCAATCGAAACTATGGTCATTCACTTCAGATGCTCAGTCACAACATAATTCTCAATTGTAGCTGAAATATGAGCACGGTGTAATTGACATCATCACTCTACAAGTATTCCATCTTGTGAAGACTTTGGGACGGCTAGAATCTTATGGGTAGTATATCTAGCGGAGATGAGGTCCTCAAAATGTCTGTCTTCTTGCGTTTCAAGATATTATGCTTTCTCGCACTAAATCTCAAAGCGTTCCGTAGACGGCGAGGAGGGTGAAATTGCTAGTTAGTCTCATGTTTTGGTCTAGCTAGCCGATAAAGACGGGCAAAAGGCGCTTCTCCTCCACTGCCTCACACACAAAATCCATGTGGGTAACTCCCATCTCCGAAGTTTTCTCTGCCACACTCAGCGCAAATTCTACGGCCAAAAGGACTGATGGACTAGAAACAGGTAATCTAATTTTATCTGTCCCCAAAGTATCCGTGAAAATCGCCTTCAATTTATATTAAGTTTATACTCACCTGTTTGCCCACGGAAATCCCATTCCACTTCCATTCCCCAATCTTCCACAGGAAGGTCAGCAACAACATCATACCCAATGTACATCCACATTATCGATTCGAAATTCTAGCCACAATCCGGCCCAAGAATTATACAGCAACCATGTATTCAAACATTGGAGTGCATCTCCAAGTTCTCGGGTTTTCAATTTCTGATTGATTGATGCCACAAATGCTTCATGTAGCAGTCACCAAAATGGTTTTACCGTGGGAATACAATCGCCAATATCACAAGTAGCTCGATATTGTTCCATCATTCTCTTCTGCATACAAGAATATAAGTATGAGTTCGATTGGACAATAGAAATCCATCATACCAATAATTACAGTAATACTCAACAAAATAACCCATCCCCTCATACACCATAATGCCTATTCCAGAATGCATCAAAATTTCAACACTCTTTTCTCTATTCCTATACTACAATAACAGCATCACATACCTTTCCTCGTGCAGTTTGACTCGTTTTCAGGGGTTGTCTCCATTTGACTTGTACACCTGCTACATTTATGATTTTCTATACATTATACTCTCGAAACATCTTGGATTGATCAAGTCTATCCATAACATCTCCTTCCAAACCCTCTAAGAACTCAAGGACGTCCATTGAGATCGACGAGCGAGGTTTCGAAAGATGACGCATATACACACTGACGATATATTCCCACACAAGCCGAGGAATAAAGCCCTAAGCAAGATTTCCTGTTGCGTCTAGAAGAAGAACACTTGCACATTCTGACTAGTAGGTTATGAGACGGAGAGGTCGAGATAGTATGGATCTTCTTCGAGTCCATGATCGATTTTTCCCAACGGAATCGGATTGAATGACGGAAATTTAGGTGCATTCATCTAGTGATAACTTCAATAACTAGTACGACCGCTCTTGCGGTGCGTATATATCTAAATACACACATTTGAAATCCTCAGAATCTCCTATGAGGAATAACCTACCTACTCACAGGCGACCCATGAGTATGAGATCCTCTGTGGAAAATTGAAAATAGAAATGAATCAAAACACTCGATCAGTAATCGTGAATCTCACCTGAAATGGTGTTTTTCATCACGTTCTCTTCGCTGTAAGTTACCTCTCTAGTTCATAATCCACAATTATTACACAAAACATCATGACAACCTCTTCGTCGCAAAGCATTCGGAAATATCATAGAAGAAATTCAGAACAAACAAGCAGAATCGTAATTCCATTGAAATCCCACCAACTCATATTATTGTCAAATCACTGGATGAGAACATACACACAATCTCTTATATATAATGTGAGACAATATTCCTTAATATCAACATTAACATCAACAAGCGCCTTGCATGAACCATCCTCCCGAAAGTCTGAATCTCACGAGTCACCATTCGACCCAAAAATCCACACCAACTTGGCATAACATCAATTATCATATACACAACACAACACTTATTGAAGCCCTAGTTTTGCGGAATCCTTAAAATCTCAGAATTTATGTTCTCGAATTCCCTTTACATCTGTGTTGCTAGATATAATGGGTTTAAAACAACGTGTGTACCGAACATTAGAGTCTATTCTTCTATTGATCTCAAGGAATTGAAGTAATATGACTTTTGCAAATGCTTCTTAGAAATCGACCTCATGATTACTTCTGCTTCTCATTTTTAAACATAACCTGTCAAGATTATACAATTCAATTCCTGTACAATATCCTCATAATCCACAAGGCCTGAGATATCCTCTCGAGAGTTGAGAATAACGAAAAGGCGAATTCGGAAATCTCTCACAGAAGTTAATATATAGACTCGCTCATGGTCTTTACAAGATGCTTTTCTTCTTTCTTCTTTCTTCTTTCTCCTTTCTCCCGTCTGGAGAATATAGAATCTCAAAATCTACATCAAAATCTGCATCAAAATTACCTTATTCCTACAACATAGTTGTATATCATATTCACGAGATGGGTGATAAAACTCCTTCTAATCCATATCCTGACACAATATACACATCACCTCATTGCATAATTGTATGTATCAGTATAAACTTCCTTTCTCTTATTGTCTCCTCTTTTTAACAGGGTAGACTAAGCGAGATGTTCATTCCCTTTTCCCCCAGACCCTCGTAACTCCTCCTCTACCTAGCATCAGAAGCTTCTCAATCATATTACATCATATCGCGTCACAAACCTACCTACCTATATAAATACCTAGTAATCGTATTACTCCACTCCACTGTCCATTGTTAGAATACACATCAACCATTCATAGATTCAGCTCTATATAGATCTAAACATAAATCTCAGTCTATCTAACAACACAGATAAAAACAATCTCACAGTCCTGATAGAGATATCCTCAACATGAAGAATCTCATAGACTCCTATAGAAAATAATCAAACATGAATAACTCAAACGATATAATTTTACCCACATTCACGCCTCAATGCCCAAATCATATACCCATTATTCGTTAATAACAAACAATCTCCCCTCTCCTTTTCCTCGCCTCCTCCCCTCCCTTACCTCCTTTGAATTCTCCAGGCCTTTCTATCCCCTCATCCTCTCCTCTCCCCTCCTCTCAACTCCAATTCCAATTCCAATTCCAACCCCCCTCCTCCCCCCCTCCCCAAAATCCCTATAACCCCCCCCAAGCAACAACAATACAAACACCCTCCCCATTCTTCCATTCTCCCATTCCTCCACACATACCCAATTAATCCTCACTCGAAAAAAAATCTCAAAATAAACTTGTGACAAGTATTCATTTCGTAAATTATGTACATATATCTTGCGCTCACCCGCTCATTCTTATCCTTATTTTGATTCTCCATCTGTATCTCTTTCTGGTTGGTAGGTATCTGGTAGATAGAGATAGATATTTGATACAGAATATCTCCTTCTATCTCCCCTCCATCTCATCCTCTCACTTTGCGTACGAGATTATACAAACTAGGTATACCAATACCTATATACTCCACAATCATCAGATTCCCCCCCTTTTAAATCCCTCCAGAAAAGCTCACCCCTATGTATCTCTATTTGCTTCCCCTCTTCCATACTATATTTAATCTTCCATCTCAAATTATCTTTCACTTTTCTCACTTTTCTCACTATACTCCAAACTCCATCACCATCACCATCAAACCACTCTCCATCTTTCTATTCCTATTCCCATCCGCATTCTCTATCTATACAGCTAAACCTCTTTTCCTTTCCCACTTCTCGTTTCCCCTTTCTCTCAAACCCAAACCCAAACCCATCTCCCCTCTTCCTCTTCCTCTTCCTCTTCCTCTTCCTCTTCCTCTTCCTCTTCCTCTTCCTCTTCCTCTTCCTCTTCCTCTTCCTCTTCCTCTTCCTCTTCCTCTTCCTCCCTCATCCTTTCCTCCAAGCATCACATTAAACTATCAACTCCCATCACCAAATCCCCATATCCCCATATCCCCTTTCACCCACTTCGCTCCCACCTACTTCACTACACTATACCGATCTCCAATTTCTCATATCGAACCTATCTCATTATCGCTATCCTATTATCTGTCCTTCATATATGCATTTCATCTCTCCATTTCATCTCTATCTCAACACCTCTACTTTATCTCTATTATCATCATATCTATCTATCTATCTCAACATCTCTCATCTCCATCTTTTCATTTTCCAATTCCTTAAATCAGTACATCAGTATATCAGTACATCAGTATATTAAATCTATCCAATCCAATCCAATCCAATCCAATCCAATCCAATCCAATCCAATCAATACATCCACATCACTATATAAAACCATACAATACCACGCTCCCTTCCTCCCCTTTCCCCTCCCTCCTTTCCCTCCCCTCCTACAAAAAGACCCAAAGACCCAAAATCCCAAAAGAGAAATAAATGCATCAACTACCCATTTACCCACTTATTCACCAACCAATCAAGAGCCACACATACTCAAAACAATATCTTTTCTCTCAGAATCTTTCATTTTAATTTCTTCTATCTACTATCTACTATACCATCTATCTCCTTTGAACTTCCTTCCCTCCACTCTCTTCTCTCTCATAATATCTCACGACATACGATACAATACATAATACAATTAAAGCTCTCCATTGTATCTTATCTTCCCCCCTCCCTCCAATCTCCATTCTCAATCTCCCCTTCCCCCTTCCCTCTCATCGCAATCCACAATTCGCATCACATGAACTCTAATACATCAATCTCCCCCATCTCCACCTTCGTCCCAAAGTAAAAATTACATCTCCCTAACAAAAGACCGATCAATCCCAATACCCCCCTCTTCCTTCCTCCATCCATTAATCACTCTCTCTTCTTCTCTAATCATCCATCCATCCGTCCAACTCCCAATCCAATTCCAATTAACAACGAGTCAATCAATCTCCTATAGGCAAAAAGAAACAGATATATCTATAGTCATTCGACCATATATCCTGCTTGGAACCCCTCTTCCCCTAAGAGATTATAAAAATACAGTAAAGAAATAATCCCCATCATCTCCCTCGCTCTTCCTCTCCTGCTCGAAGAAGAAAGCCACCAAATTAAAACAGGTATTATAAAATCCCATCCCAAACACGTATGGTATAATGCAGTAGTAAAAAGACGCTCTTGCAACTACTCCGTAGAAATCAAAAATCAAAAACAAATAAGAAGTGGACAAAATGCCACCAAAACATCAAGACATTAAAACAAAGGAAAATATTCATCGTGTCAGTCATACATTGATAAGATGTATGACTATGTGATGTCGATTTGATAAACTCAACTGGGGTATCTTTTCTTCTCTATTCTTGAATCACAATTCAACTTCTCTTCTTCCCTCGATGTAACTTCCACTCCGCTTTCGTGACCTTCATCAATAATTCCTCATCCTTGACTGGGATCCAACTCGTGAGGACTTTCATTGAACTTTCGAAATCACTATCGAGTAATATATCTCTCGTACCATCGATTAAAGCGGCGCTAGTAGCATGAATAACATCCAAACCACCTGCAAATGGTCTTTCTTTGCTGTAAGGTAATGATTGATCTTCATCTCCTAGAAGCATGAAGACATCCCAAACGCGGAGTTGAGCTGGGAAAGGAATGGAATAGTTGAAGAGAGTGAGATACCATCGAGTACCGTATGCTGTGGGTTCAATACCAAGTTCGTTCTATCATAATCAGTATTGTATGTAAGAAGGACCAAATCAAGTACTTACCAGCTTAGCCGAAACCTCACCATTATCTAGCCACGTAGTTGCAAACTCATCTAAAGCAGCCATCAAACCCGGAAACCCTGGTTCGTATAATTTCTCTAGCCCACGCAAAGTCCACATCCGTACGAGCATGACAAAACATTTCTCTTCGTCATAATAACACAGAAGAGTAGCTGCCAATGACGCCATGCCCTGAACATAGCCAGTAGTAGGAAAGTATAGTGATAAAGCGTGAAGAACTCTAAAGAGTAATCTCTGACCTCCTCTATATCTTCGTCTAAACATGATGTGACTATTGATCGTCCGAGGAACATCAACATCGATCTGAACATCATCTGCCGAACTTTGATCTTGTAGCTTATGGAAAGCTTCGATTATATCTCCTTCCTGCGCGCTATCTTCCCTCTTCTTTGCTGAACTAGCAAGAAAGGAATACCATGCTGCAGAGCGCCAACGATCTGGTATCCCTTTCCATGTCCTTTCTATCAACTTGGAATTCTTCGTGTCGAATTCGAAAACCATCCCTTCTCCATCCTTGCCCTTTATTATTTTAGCCATTCTTCTCCATTTCTCTGTTCTTTCGGATTCTTTCTTCTTCATCAGTTCTGCCCCTTTCCCCCCTTCCACTTCTTCAGCAATATCAGCCAAGCCAGGAGGTAGAGTCAACATGTCACCAGCTTCGTCCATCCACCTTCTATCTTTATTTCCCGGTAATCGATTGGCAGCTTGTCTAAGTTGAGAGCTTCGCGAACTTCGTATTGACGCATTATCCCCTTGTGTCCTTTTTAATGATCTCGCGGAAACCTTTCGACTAGGCGCACGCCTGAACCCCTTCTGAGAATTCGCGGTAGATGGCGATCGACCAAATGTTCGTTTTCTTCGTGGTGCCTCGGAGGCTAATTGCAGTACAGTAGAGACCCGTTGTGGTGGTTTGGGTTCCGGTGTGCCGGGTCTGGTGGTAGTCCTCCCGCTATTGATGAAACCATATCTATCGACATCTTTCCCATTCACATCTTCCCAATCTTCGATGCCTCCAGCTAACTCGGCAGGTCTTCTATTCGACAATGCGCTCGCGGATCGTTGTGGTACCCCAATGCCATTGGGAGTCAAGTAACTGTTTGCCCTAAAATTAATTAGTGGAGAGCGCAATCATCAGTAAGCAGTTCCACACTCACGTAACAGGTCTTTCGGGTATCGATTCCCCTCCAGCTGTCAAACGATTGTCAATTGAGTCGTCTTTCCCGTCACGCCAGTCGAAGCCCGACCCCGACTCATACATAGATCTGACCTTTTGCGACTCCATTTCCAAATCGTCCGACAATACTTTGATCGATGGCGACGTTGTGGCTAACATAGAAAAGCTAGGTTGTCTAATGAATGTCTCTTGTCAGCACAATTAGCTGGTACGCTACGGGGCTTTGATCCCACCCACCTTCGCGTCGTATTTGTGCGCGCTTGACCACTTATTGGCTTTCTTCCCCCTAACATGATACTCCCTCTTTTGGAAAAAGACATTGATTGCATAAAATCGTCTTCTAATAAACTTTCACTTGGGATTGGAATGGTTATGGGTGAAAATTGCTCGCCTGGAAACTCTATAGATTTACCAGTATTGGTAGGGATGGTGGAATTACCATTCTTCGTTTTCCATCGTTTCAGGGACCCTGCAGAAGACCCCAAGCTTTCATTTTTCATAAAACTTGGAGCTTTTGGTGATGCGGGTGATTGCACATCGCTCAATTGAACTTGTGGAGTGGAGCTTGTGCTGCTTGGTTCTGCCATGGCCACTTTTGAATCAAAGTTTATATTGATTCCCAAGACATTATCATTATCGACGGTATTAAAAGAGTGACGATTAATCGAAGCTCCTTCACCATCTCGAGCACTCGTACTGGTGGTAGGGGCAAGACCAGAGTCTCTCTTGGTATTATCCTCCTTCTGTAATGTTCTCAGTTCATGACCTTGGTCAAGCACTGATCGTGGTCGAAATGCAGGATGCGTATCTGTAGGTGGAGAAAGTGGAGGTGCAACAGTGACGGGAATTGGTGCCCTTGCTCCAGGGAACATATCTTCATATCTCATCGCAATTAGCTCTGATGGTGGCCCTGGTGGTCCCTCATTATTGGTCGTTATATTTGTCGTAACTTGTGGGGTACCGGTATTAGGATTAGGATTAGGATTAGGATTGGTATTGTGTCTGGTGTTGTTAGATGACTTTCTTCGAATACTTCTAAAACTTCCGAATCTGTGAGCATTGAGTGCCATGGTTCATTATCTGAGGTGCAAAGAATCGAGTTTGTTTTGTTGCGTTGTTCTGGGTTGTTTTGTTGTGGAGGGAGGAACAGAGAGAAAGAGAGAGGTAGATTCACAAGACCCGAAGGAATTCGCGCCGGTAAGGTTACTCGTATATTAGAAATCTTCACCCTGAAAGTATCAACTGAGGAAACTTGAAGAAAACCTGATAGATTATCATTAGATGGACCAATTCTTCTTCGCTTTGGGGATTTGGCAATGTTACTTTTTGGTGGTCTGGTCGTAAGATATCAATGTTGTGATGCGGGTGTTGTGTTACGCTATGCAGGGCTTGCAGGTAGGCACTCTCTGTGATTTGATATGATGATTGTAATGTATTATAATGCTGTAGGTAGTGCTGTGTTGTAATCCTGGGCAAGCTTCATGTGGGTATGAAAGGTAGACAGACGGATTGGAATAAGTACTCGGGTTGGAATATGGATTTGGATTGGAGGAGGAATCTTCTCTTCGGCTTGATATTCGCACAGCTTGAGGTGATTCGGATGTAGATGTCAATTGTCCTTAATAGAGGGAAGAATCTCTGATATATCCTGTAGAAATGTAATCTTGAGATCCGTGTACTCGATATAGAGAAGGGTAAACCAAGAATTGATAGTACAAGATCAATGTTTTCTTTTCCCTCTGTTAAATATATGTAGCTGAAATAATTGAGGTGGAAATTTGATTCTTGAATTAATATTCGATTAACTATCGATTATCGATTATCCCAATCACCTTGTTCTTTCGAGGTCACTGTTCATTCAAATACAGTCGAGAAGAAAGAGCAAAACAATATTGACTCTTCAATCAAAAGAGACTTCATTACACTTGACATCAAATTCCCATTTTGACTCCTTTGATAGAATCTGGTGGACCAACATTGACCACGCACTCCATTCGAAATGTCTTCTCACCATACCTTTTCCTGATCAACATCAAGAGAAGATTTCTTCATGACCGTCTTTTCAGAATCTCATAGTCATTTTTATCCATCAGCAGTCATGCCAACGATACTTATCATGATATACCAACTTCATGAACATGTTGAAGTAAGTACTTGATCTCATCCGATCGACAATGATATCATGATAACGTGTGATTTCAATATGATATGGTCGCTATGACAAAAGGCCATAAGGTTACGGGTTTGTCGGTCTCATGGTATTACATCATGTCTTTTGATATGTCGGTCACGGTCGATGTAGAACTCTATTGTGGAGAGAAAGAAGAGGCAGAAGAAGGAGAGGCAGAAGAAGTAGAAGCAGAGGAAGAAGGAGAAGAAGGAGAACAAGAGAAGCAAAGAGAAGAAAAGAAAGTAGAAAGTAGCTCCCCCCCGTAAATATCTGGTACTTATTTATTCTTCCATATATACGAGTGAGTACCTAGTATACATCATTCTATATTTAACGTGGTTTAACACCGAGTGCACCACGAATTTTACATACAAAATACGTCTGTGCGTAACCGTGCACTTTCTTTATTTAATAATATAATTTTTCAAAATTTGAAATTGTAACATTTAATTATATAAATATTATAAAAATTTAATTATTTATTAAAAATTTGAATTAATATAGTAGTTATTATAGGAATAGTTTTTTTGTAACGAAAATCGTGACAATTTCCACTTTTTATAGAATATAATAGAAATTTTTATATAGAAACTTAATACTTTTATAAAAAATATTTTCTTATTAATAAATCTTTTTTGTTTTTTAAAAAATATTGATTAAGTATTAAAATATGAATATTAGGAAAAGGCTAATTTTGTGTTACGGGAGCTGCCTCTAGGGTTACGTGGAAGTGTTTAGAGTTCTCTCGAGATGGTTTAATCTAAACTTCAAGTAGGAATTCAATAAGGTTGTAACTAGTTGCAATTCTCATAATTATAATAATAAAACTAATGGTTGTTCTTGAGCATGAAGCTTTATATTATAATAAAACCCATTCTCTTATATAAACCTTTGTTTTTTATCCTAATCCCTAGGACCTTTCCAATATATTGGATTGTTAAGGATCGTAATGCGCTTCAGGAGTGCTGAAGCTCCTTGACGCTCCATCACGTGTAGTTTATGTCATGTGACGCGGTATGTTGGATGCCGTCGTAACATTTTGGTGTATTTTGAAGTGGTGCATTCGGTGATATGGTGCACTCGGTGTTAAACCACATTATAGATATCTATAGTAGTTAACTATTGTATCATAGATAATAATCTCAGCCCCTTCACTCAAATCATTTCTACTTACTAGGTAGGTATCTATAAATCTCCGCCTGCCTTCCTACCTAGTACTTCCTTCTACATCAGCCCTCTTCCATTTCTTCCCATCCCCCATCCCCCTTTCCGCTCCCTCAATACCAACCCCAACTCCATACATCCACGCACAGATAAATTACCCACTCCAGCCCTTACCCAAATAGCCATCGGTAGACCAACAGACACTAAATAAGTAGCACCACCTCTCCCAAAACATCAAAACATTCTCCAAACCAAAGTTTGAAGCCTTAGTTTAGCATCCAGCCGTGCCAGCCCAGCACCCACGCACCACGGCACCGCAGAGCTTATACACCTACCTAGTCTAGTAGTGTATCTCGAACGGAAAAGAAACCAAACAAGCCAACTTAAACTCTAATCATGAAGAAACTAACTAACTAACTAACTAACTAACTAACTACTAAGTACTAGGTACATATCTAGGTAGTCATGCTCTCTACCGAGTTACCCCAACCTCGCTCACAACTTCTATGGTATAGGATTCAAGAAGATCACATTACCATTCTCGCCCTTTCAAAACAAAAATAAAGATTAAAATATCAGAATATTAAATCTCAACTCCAATCGAAATAAAAATTAGTAAAGCGTGGATTTGTATTATATTATAGTTTTATCCTGAGAAAATATATCTAAATATCTACATACATACCTATTAACTCTACCTAGTAAGTAATTACCTAGCAAGTACCTACAGTTACAAGTACAACCCCGGAGAAAAAAAAATGTCACTCATACATATATACACACCCAAATCGATATAATACATACATACATACATACATACATACATACATACATACATTACCACATTACCACCTCCCACCAAACCCGCCCCGATTTATCTAGCCGTCGGGCATCCAACCCTCCCTCCATCCATCCATTCCTTCAAGTCCCGTACCGTCCTATATCATGCCATATCATATCATAACAAGTCAAATAAACTAAAAATCCTCCTTCCGGTTCCAATTCCGATTCCGAATGTAACACACACACATATACACATATACACATACACCTAAATACCTCTCAATTCCACAGCCACCGATTCATTTTGTGTTTCAGAAGACCAGGAAAATAATGGAAAGAAATAATTGATAAATCTTCTATTTCTCTCCCTTCCCTTCCCCTCACCTCTTCCTCTCCACCCTCTTACACACAACGCAAACATAAATCTCTATTGCGTACAACACAAAAAAGCATCATTCATATCACACCATATAAGGATATGCGATCCATTCAAACCTACTGCATTGAATTCTCCTCCCATTCTATCTCTTTTCTTCTCAAAGAAGCGCACAGAAAAACAAATTCCACCATTTGACATAAATCCATATCAAATCATTTGACATGGTTCAGTATTGTATGCCGACACGCACTAATATCATCCATCATGACAAACGCCAACAAAAAAACGCCACGCCATGCTGCCTGCCTACCAATAAATGCTATCTTTTATCTCCCGATTTTCCACTGATGCTCCTCAACCACTTGTCCTCATCAGAGCTCCTCATTCTCCCAATCTCTCTCATGATACGTTGAATGTGCTCTTCCTCCGCTCAAATCCAACTTTGCCAAAAATTCCGGCGGAACCGTCGGTATATATTTTCTTTCTCTTTCTCTATTCACTCCTCCAAATCCCGCTCCATAACTAATCAACATATCCGTACTCGAAGGTAATGAAAATGGAAGCATAAGAGCTGGATCTAAGAGAAGATTTTCGGGCGCATCATCATCTTCCTCAAACGAATCCTCATCTAGAGATTGAGCATTTCCACCACGACCGTTTGAATCAGGGGTATCGGGTAATGGTTTGCTACTTCCCTTTCTAGCTGGTGTAGATGGTGCGCTCATGCGTAGACCTTGAGAAGTGCGTTTTTGACGTTCTTTTCTTAATCTATGCTCTTCTTGCAAATTGATTAAATATTTCATGGCACTTTTTGGTAAACCCTTTTCCCCAACTTCAGCTCGATAATGTTTTACCGAATGTATTAGTTGTTGGGGTGTAAGTCGCGTGAGTTGTTGTAATGTTCCAACTAACGCTTCTAAATCGTCTTGACCCAAAGATGAAAAACATTGTAACCATTGAAGTAATTGGACTAGAGGTGCGAGATGTCGCCGTGTTGCCTCAACAGTCATTTCTCCACTAGAAGTCATAGACCCATGTTCATAATGCTCAGGTTGTCGATTGTTCGTTCGTGCCCATTCTTCGAGACTAGATACATTCATACGTATTTGCATTGCTTTAGTTCGTGCGAGGTATTTTCGATTAGACATGATACGATTGAAAAGTTCCGCTCCTAGCCAGTAAAGTAGTTGGGCCAATATTTGAGAAGTAATGACAGAATGTATATCATATAGATCCAGTACAAAAAGAGTCGAGGATAATAAAGATGTAACATTGCGAGGTGATGGTTTGGCCCTCGCCTTTGGAGAAGGTGGTCGAAATCTTTTTTCAATAGGTAGTTCTTTGACAGTCGTTTTTCTCTTGAAGAGCTTCCATTCATTCTGAAACGTAACGTCTTCAAATCCTGGAATAGTTTCATGTTCTAACATGGCAGAATCAAGGACTTTATCCATTCTCCTTTCAGCATCTCGAATAATCAAGATAAATATTTCATTGATTAATTCCGCAAGCTGAAGTTGAAATTCGGATGTTGACTCAGATAATCCAGCATCTTTCTTCAGATAATGTAATAATAATGTAGCATTCGAAATCCAGAAAGCCAATATCGTCATGTCCCATTGATGTGTTTCAACCACATCATTGATTTTATCCATTGCGCTAATGAGGAGTTTTGCCAGGAGATCATGACTTGCATGATAATGAGCATACCTGGCACTGAGAAATATCATGTTCGCCGGCACGGGTTTTTGAGACGGCGATCGTTGAGGAGACATGTTGGTGATGATGATATCCAGGATTCGACCGAGTTCACTTTCTTGGAACACGAACATTTGATCATGTAAACATCGACTCCAATCGAAATCTTGTCCTTCTTCTTCCAACTCCTCTGGTGACTCAGGTTGATCGTCAATACCCATATTACCCAAGTCAACCTCTAAATCTCTAGCACTCTCCATCATCATTCGCCGGCGCATCTCATTTTCTGCCATT